AGGGTAGGAAGTTTGGCAAGGTGAACTGGTTAAGTGTAGGGTAGGAAGTTTGGCAAGGTGAACTGGTGAAGTGTAGGGTAGGAAGTTTGGCAAGGTGAACTGGTTAAGTGTAGGGTAGAAAGTTTGGCAAGGTGAACTGGTGAAGTGAAGGGTAGGAAGTTTGGCATGGTGAACTGGTGAATCGAAGGGTAGAAAGTTTGGCAAGGTGAACTGGTAAAGTGAAGGGTAGGAAGTTTGGCAAGGTGAACTGGTTAAGTGTAGGATAGGAAGTTTGGAAAGGTGAACTGGCTAAGTGAAGGGTGGAAAGTTTGGCAAGCGGAACTGGTTAAGTGTAGGGTAGGAAGTTTGGCCAGGTGAACTGGTGAAGTGAAGGGTAGGAAGTTTGGTATGGTGAACTGGCTAAGTGAAGGGTAGAAAGTTTGGCAAGGTGAACTGGTAAAGTGAAGGGTAGGAAGTTTGGTATGGTGAACTGGCTTAGTGTAGGTTAGAAAGTGTGGATGGTAACTGGCAAAGCCTAGGGTAGAGATTTTGGTAAGGTAAACAGGGTAAGTCTAGGGTAGAAAGTTTGGTATGGTGAACTGGTAAAGTGAAGGGTAGGAAGTTTGGCAAGGTGAACTGGTTAAGTGTAGTGTAGGAAGTTTGGCAAGGTGATTTGGTAAAGTGAAGGGTAGGAAGTTTGGTATGGTGAACTGGTAAAGTGAAGGGTTGGATGTTTGGCAAGGTAAACTGGGTAAGTCTAGGTTAGAAAGTTTGGATGGTAAACTGGGTAAGTCTAGGTTAGAAAGTTCGGATGGTAAACTGGCTAAGTCTAGGATAGAAAGTTTGGCAAGGTGAACTGGTTAAGTGTAGTGTAGGAAGTTTGGCAAGGTGATTTGGTAAAGTGAAGGGTAGGAAGTTTGGTATGGTGAACTGGTAAAGTGAAGGGTAGGAAGTTTGGTATGGTGAACTGGCTTAATGTAGGTTAGAAAGTTTGGATGGTAACTGGCAAAGCCTAGGGTAGAGATTTTGGTAAGGTAAACTGGGTAAGTCTAGGGTAGAAAGTTTGGTATGGTGAACTGGTAAAGTGAAGGGTAGGATGTTTGGCAAGGTGAACTGGCTAAGTGAAGGGTAGAAAGTTTGGCAAGGTGAACTAGATAAGTGTGGGCTTGAAAAGAAAGTTTGGCAATATTTGCTGGCTAAGTGTAAGACGAAAAGCTTAGAAAGGTGAAATGGGTAAGTGAAGGGTAGGATGTGTACAAAGTGAACTGACAAAGTGTGTCAGATAGGAAGTTTGGCAAGGTGAACTGGCTAGGTTAAGGCGAGGGGTAGGAAGTTTGTTATGAAGAACTAGCTTAGTTAAGGGTAGAAATTTTGGTATGGTGAAATGGCTAAGAAAAAAGTAAAACATTTGGTTTAGTGAATTGGTTAAGAGTTTGGAATAAAAAGGTCTAAATTAAATTGATGAAGTGTATAGTGTGAAAAAAAAAATGTCATTAAGGACAAAGAACATATTTGAGGTAAAAGCATTGGAAAAGTAAACTGGCAAAGTTTGATAAGGTCAGGTCTAGATTAACAAAACTTATAACCATTTTATCCTTTAGATATGTTTGTAGTGTCCAGATGTTTCATGAAAGAAATTTCTATCATGCAGAATTTATACGCAGTGTAGAATTATAGTGAAAAGCAAGGGAGATAACTCATTGTGTTTCAGAATGTGCCAGACACTGAAGACTGTGACACTGTTGCGGAGTCCGAGTGGCTCCCTTGGGTTCTCTGTGGTGGGCGGGGTCGACAGCGAGAAGGGGATTCCCCCCTACCCTGTGTATGTTAAATCTGTCGTCCTGGACACACCAGCTGCCAAGGATGGACGCCTAAAGTAAGTGTCATAGCAGTTATCTATTTTGTGAATGAATAGACAGAAAATCACAATTTCAAATTGTAGACTTCTGTTTTTAGATGTAAAAGATTAATTGTGAAAAAAATAGAAGACTTAAATTTTTAACACACCAGTGGCCATGAACTCATCCAATGACGATATTCATTTTTCTAACACCAACTAATTCCTTCTTGAGAGCTATTATTAAAAGGTCCCAGATCATTGAACATGGTCTATAGCTTGCTGAGATCAAGTGCCATTAATGTTGATCGATTACTTTGGCCAACATTTAAGATAAAAAAAAAATATGAGAATTTTTAACTCAGGAGCCAACATGCCTCAAGATATTGAGAGGAAATGTGAAGTTTAAGGATATTCAAGCCAAGACCATTCATTTAATTTAAGAAGTTTTGTGATGATTTAGAAAATGTTAGCTGATCTAGTGTCTATAATATACTATACAAGGGGCATAACTCTTACAACATTAGCTTCTCTTACTAAAATAAAGTGTTGTCTCCCCTTTGCCAGTGTTCTAACTGTTTTGATTATATTGCAGGTGTGGTGACATTTTACTCAGTGTGAATGAAGACAGTCTGCAGAGTGTAACACACACCAAGGCTGTCGACTTACTCAAGATGGCCGACGGCGCAGTGTCATTAACAGTTGTGTCTTGGCCTGGTACCATTGTATGATGGACACTGTATAGGCTATCAGGTTAAACATTTGTGATGGTCAGTATATTTATATATGTACTGGTCAATTTTTTTACAGCAACTGAAGAGACAATTTCATAAAACATTAAGGGATTGGTCATCATATAAATTCTGGGTGGTCATACTGACCAAATCATTCCAAAAACATTATTTTCCTGATGAAGTCTTAAACCATTCCCTTGTATCAATGAACCGGTCAGCTTTGATGGTTGTGGGACTCCCAGAGTGTGAGAATAACGAGGCATCATTCCCATTGCATGTAGAGCATAGGAGGTCACCTCCTGTCCATTCCTCTGGTCACTACAAGAACCATAGAAGTGTTTGACCATCATGAAATCTTCCTGTACGACTCTGTACAGCTGTTTAAGAAGGATCGTTTGTATTTTTCTACTGTATTTATTAGCTGTATAACTGCACTAGGTCTTTCTCTTCTTGTGTTTCTCCTATTTATAGCCTTAGAGCTGGGCACTGTACCATAATACAACACGTCTCTCATTTATTCCCTAAGAATAACATATTGCAATAATTATACATTTGCAAAAATATTTATTTTCCTATTGAAATAGGAAGTAAAAATTCAGTTTCATATGTAACAAAAATTGCAAATTGTTTCCAAACACAAAATATTTGCTCACTAATGCTGAACAGTATTCAAATTTGTATTGTTACAAATTCTTCTCAGTGTATGGTCACATGACATTGTGAAATGGGAGTAATATTTGGTACCGTAATTCTTCTCAGAATACACCAACTTTTTATATGGAAAATAAATCTCTGATACGCCCCTGCATCTTCTGTACTTACTCAGAGATTGTGTGATACAAGATGTGTATTTTATACTGGGAGAATTACGGTAACAAGAAAACTAAACCGGTAACATGGAATTCCTTTCCTAAAGACACAAGATCTTGTTAAATTAATTTATAGTATTTAGATAAGTCACCTATGGTATGTGTGCAATCATTTTTAAACAGTCTTATCAATCAGAAATGTTCTTTGTTGAATTACCACACAAATTCTAATGGTTGTGGTTGGAAGTTTTTCTGGAATGTCTGAGGAGTCACCAGGGCTCCAATTCACGAAACCATTCTGATGTTCAAACTCATATTCTTTGGCAAAGTATAATTCCTTGTATTTCGTGATTAGATATTCAAGTTTTACATGTTTTCAATGATCTGGAGAAACTTTGAAAAAATTTCAAGCTGATTACCATTGTCCAAGTTAAAACCTTACATATTGACTGCGAGTCACAAGAAAACAACCAAGTTAGTATGAGAATGATTTCAACCAGCATTCTTCACTAAATGTTTTACTTTTACTGGGGAGAAATTTTAGCCAAGACAGCATTGTGAAATCCTAGCCTTACATTATGTAATGCTTGTCTTTACTCATACATAGAAACAAGGATTTTATTCTGGTAAAAAGGTAGCTCAAGGTTGTGGGAGCAAAACAGAGTTCCAGAAACTTCCAGTACAACACCACCATTGATGTGGCTCTTTAGCATATGCGGACATTGAGGTTTGATAATTCTGTCTTCTTGTATGCATAATAATTCTTGTAATATTTTACAAACATGATAAGTGTTTTTTTGAGACTGATAAAGCCAGTTCTGTATCCATTCTATGCATAAAACAAATCATATACATATTGCTATATTTTATTCACTTTCCATATAAGATAAAAACTATAGACTATTTTGATATACTCTGTATGATAGCAAAATTCATAAGACGTTATACAACTATTTCGGTTTCGTTTATAATTACGCCATAAGCAGATAACTATACTTCAGTATATTTTATTTTTATTATTACGCAGACAACTTTACTTTCTGTTTATGATTTTCATGATTATGCAGACAACTATACTGTTTGTTTATGATTTTCATGATTATGCAGACAACTATACTGTTTGTTTATGATTTTCATGATTATGCAGACAACTATACTGTTTGTTTATGATTTTCATGATTATGCAGACAACTATACTGTTTGTTTATGATTTTCATGATTATGCAGACAACTATACTGTTTGTTTATGATTTTCATGATTATGCAGACAACTATACTGTTTGTTTATGATTTTCATGATTATGCAGACAACTATACTGTTTGTTTATGATTTTCATGATTATGCAGACAACTATACTGTTTGTTTATGATTTTCATGATTATGCAGACAACTATACTGTTTGTTTATGATTTTCATGATTATGCAGACAACTATACTGTTTGTTTATGATTTTCATGATTATGTAGACTACTATGCTTCAGTATATTTAATTTCGTTATTACGCAAACAACTATACTACCTGTTTTATATGATTTTAACAATTAAGCCGACACAATACTTCCAGTTTATATATTTTCTCATGATTACACAAACAACTTTACCTCCTGGTTTATATGGTGTTCACGATTACGCAGACAAAAAAATATTCCGGTTGATGAATATTTTTTTCTAATTACGTAGACAAGTATGCTTATTGTTTTTCATGATTTTCACAATCACACAGTCAAGTATAATTCCTGATTGTATAATTTTTTTCACGATTACGCAGACAACTATACTTCACTTTGTATGATTCTCACGATTACGCAGACAAGTACCAGACATACTTGCTGATCGTATGATTTTCACGATTACGCAGACACTATACTTACACTTTATATGATTTTCCCGACTACACAGACACTATACTTCCACTTTATATGATTTTCACGATTACGTAGACAAGTATACTTATTGTTTTTCATGGTTTTTACAATCACACAGTCAAGTATAATTCCTGATTGTATATTTTTTCATGATTACGCAGACAACTATGCTTTATTTGATTTTCACGATTACGCAGACAAGTACCAGATATACTTACTGATCGTATGATTTTCACAATTACCCAGACAGCTATACTTCCTGTTAATACAATTCATGTTGCTGCATACATGTAGTAAGGTCAGTAGCATTACTATGTATGTTATGAGATTGGCCTACACAGACACACTGCAGTTTATATTTGAAGTTTACATATTTTGTACAAAAAATGGTTGTTAATCAGAGATTCATCCTATTAAAAGGGTTAGTGAAACTACATGTATATTGTCATTTCCCGTCAAATCACACTTTGGTGTATATTTTACAAAGCCAGATATACAGTAAAACCTCCATATAACGATCGTCAAACCTCTTTATAATGATCGCCTTTAATTTATAATCTGGCTTACTGTCAACTCATTTCAATGTCATTTTTTTTTTTCGTTTTTCTTCAAAACTCATTTAATGATCTCCTTTGAAATTTCGCCAAACCCCTTTTTAATGCCAAAATTTGACTTGACTGTTGGCAGTATAACGAGGTTTTGCTGTATGTGTTATCACACTTTAAGGAAACTTCTTTCCTATTCAATGACACAACTCATTGAGCTGATTTTGTTTTTGGGACGTGGCACCCATTTATTTATAAAGATTGCACATATGATAAGATATTTTGTATAAATATACACTGTATATGTACAATAATGCAATTATACCTGTGAAGCTTGTTTTTATTCTTCTAAATGTGTTAATATTAATTAAATGCAGATGATTTTAAGATATGGTATTTTTCAAGCCATTCATTAGTATTTTCCCGAAGCATGCTTTTACATTTGTTTGCTATATAGCACCACAAACGCAGTATGAGTTATGATTATTCAGATAGTACTACACTTGATGAATGCCCCAGTCATCTAAATGTTGTAAAGTAAAACACTGATTTATAAATTATATTACCCATTACATTACATAAGATTTACTGATGCTGCATGGTTCAAGTTCTTATATACCATACTCCACCTAATAATTGCCCTAGGTGCTTAGCAGTTCGAAAAAAAATCAGAATTATTCCGACCCCTCCAAAAAGACCTGATAAGCTCAACAATTTAGAAAATTCAGAACAATCAGGACCTTCCAAAATATCCTAATATTAAAATAAGTGCCCTAGGTGCTGAGCAATATGGAAAATTCAGAATAATTCAGACCCTTCAAAAAATGCCTAATAAGTGCCCTAGGTGCTGAGCAATATGGAAAATTCAGAATAATTCAGAAACTTCAAAAAATGCTTAATAAGCACTTGGTAAGTTATGGTAAAAGGATGGGACGGTCGGTTAAGGGACAAGTAGGGAATGGGGGCTAGCCATTTTGGTAGAATACGCTAATTCAAATCTGTGAGCAAATTGTGTGGATGTTGATGTCGAGTGGAGTGTGATATAGAGCAGAGGTGCTATTACATTAAATACGGTAAATTTAATGTCAGTCAGTTATTGGATATTTAAGGTAAATTAATGAAGTCCAGTTCTATTTCTACAAAGTTAATAATGGAGATTTACAGATACATGTATATCTAGTCATTGTTTGATTGTGTTGTGAATTTAAATACATGTGGGATGATGTTTGAAAAGTGTGAGATATCAGCTGTTTGTAATGATTCCTAACGGGTAAAAGTATAAAGTCAACATTCCAAGTTTGTGTTATAGTAGTAAGTCCACAGTTTTCATATATACATACCTGATAAAAGTTACTTAGGTTTGACGATGTAAACAATACAATATCTCATACTCGTGTGATAGGAGGATTTGATTCTTGTGTGAGAGGGAACATGATATCTCACACTTGTGTGAGAGGGACTTTTGATAATGTACATGATATCTCACACTTGTGTGTGAGGGACTTTTGATAAGTCACATGATATCTCACACTTGTGTGTGAGGGACTTTTGATAAGTCACATGATATCTCACACTTGTGTGATAGGGTCTTTTGATAAGGTACATGCTATTTCACACTTGTGTGAGAGGGACTTCTGATAAGGTACATGCTATTTCACACTTGTGTGAGAGGGACTTTTGATACGATACATGATTTATCACACTTGTGCGAGAGGGAATTTTGATACGGTACATGATTTCTCACACTTGTGTGATAGGGACTTTTGATAAGGTACATGATGTCTCACACTTGTGTGAGAGGGACTATTGATAAGGTACATGATATCTCATACTTGTGTGAGAGGGACTTTTGATACGATACATGATTTCTCACACTTGTGCGAGAGGGAATTTTGATACGGTACATGATTTATCACACTTGTGTGAGAGGGACTTTTGATACGATACATGCTTTCTCACACTTGTGTGAGAGGGACCTTTGATAAGGTACATGATATCTCCCACTTGTGTGAGAGGGACTTTTGATAGGGTACATGATATCTCACACTTGTGTGAGAGGGTCTTTTGATAAGGTACATGATATCGCACACTTGTGTAAGAGGGACTTTTGATAAGGTACATCATATCTCACACTAGTGTGAGAGGGACTTTTGATAAGTCACATGCTATCTCACACTTGTGTGAGAGGGAGTTTTGATAAGGTACATGATATCTAACGCTTGTGTGAGAGGGACTTTTGATAATGTACATGATATCTCACACTTGTGCGAGAGGGACTTTTGATACGATACATGCTTTCTCACACTTGTGTGAGAGGGACCTTTGATAAGGTACATGATATCTCACACTTGTGTGAGAGGGAATTTTGATATGGTACAAAATATCTCACACTTGTGTGAGAGGGACTTTTGATACTTTATGCAATTTCTCACACCTATGTGAGAGGGAGTTCAATACTGTGTACATTGTCTTACACCTGTATGAGAGGGAGCCTTGAATAAAATCTCATACCTGTGTAAGAGGAACATACCTGTGTGAGGGGGCCTTGATTCTGTGTACAATTTCTCACACCTATGTGAGAGAGAGTTTGATACTGTGTACATTATCTCATACTTGTGTGAGACGGAGCCTTGAACATTACCTGTACAAAACAGTTTATTCCTAAAATTTCACAAGCTTTTAGGTACATGTATGAACAACCCAACCCCCAATAAAATCATTATGATCTAGTTAAGATGCAAACACTTTAAAAATTCACATGTTAATGACTATTTATTCATTTCTGACAATAAACTGAGACATGTGCACTATTGGATTGTACTGTTAATGTTGCATATATTTATATAAATGTTTCACTGAGTGAGCATGGAATTCTATCTCACATGTGTAAATACCTGTGTATTTCACTTGCATATTTAGACGAGGTCAGATTTCTTCATTGATACAGGCCTAGAAAAAGAAGACAAGTTTTATTGTAAAACTATTGAAAACAAATTTAATGACAAATATCTAGCTAATTTATCAAAGTCTTGGAACAAAAAATTCGAATGAATTATGTATGATTTTCCATAAAAACGTTTTATTGTTCATTAGATGCCGCTCCCCATGTACATTTTTAAGAGTAAGCCCTGTTTTTGGATACAGAACATGTACGCATATTGATGAGTAAGGACAGACGGACATACAAAGGCACGGCATTGGGACTGCTATTATTGCACAGGGGAATGTATTTTCATTTCAAACTTATTAGAAAACCAGATTTTAATTTCGTAGGATAATCTCGTAGATTTTTATTTCCTCGGAGAAATTTTTAATTTCGAACATCAGGTTATTATTGTGTGCTGGCCAATGGCTTACTAATGAAATCAATATCCCAACTCTGGGTGGGGGTGTTGGGGTAAGTACGGGTATGCCATAGACTGAACCACCCAGGAAAACAGTGGGATTTGTTTGAAATTTGTCCTGATTTTATCCACATATGGATTGGGTTGAGAATTTTTCCATACCTGATGTTATAGGATTTCTCCCTGAAATGTTAATACGATTTCTTAATGTATTGGTATGTAGTATTTCCACATGTCATTATACATGTATAGGATTCCCATATTATTGGTATGGGATTTCTTAATCTAATGGTACGAGTTTTCTACATGTCATAGAATAAGATTTCTCTACCTTGAATTGGAATAGGATTTCTTAATGTATAATATTAGTGTGTGAATTTCCACTGTAATTGTATGGGATTTCAGTTTGTAATATTATCGGATTTCGACTTGAATTGGAATAGGATTTCCACATGCAATGGTATGGGATTTCTCCATCCAATAGTATAGGGCCGATTTCCACATGCCATTTGTTATGGTATGCAATTTCCACATGTATTGCTTTGGAATTTCCGACAGGAGAACACAGGTGAGACACGTAGTCCGAGACATATGTGGCCATGTTTCTTTGGACAGTGAAGGTGGAACATCACTGAAACACTGTCCCCGGGGACAACACGGAAGGGCTGTGATTACAATACACTGTTTGTAGCGTAACACTTCATTTATAATGGAGGAATTGTTTCATAAAAGCTACCCAAATGTCTGACCCCGCTGGTCATACAGACAGTTTTATCAAACCATCATCAGCACTTTCTCGAAATCTGGTAATTTATTAACGAAGAAACAAATCAGATCCCTGCGTAAAAAGACAATATAGCTGTAATCAGCGTCCAGCTGCCGTGACGGGACGGGACCCTACGGACGCGTTGTACATCAACATCAGAATAGGGCTACTATAAAACAAAAGGCTGCTAGTTTATTGATACGGCCACTTTACGGGTCTGAAGACTCGGGTAGTGGTAATTAGACACCCATCAATCATTCATACGGCAAGTACTGACGTTAAACAACAATTGCTGCGAATTTGTACAGGATATATGTTGAATACCTCAAGGTAAATTTGATTTAAAAGTCAACTTTTATAAATTTTGTATTTATTAAATTTATATGATTAAAACGACCACCTGGCTAGGGTTTAAAAGATTTAAAAGTACATAGTACTCCATGACAGTATGCATCTGGGCTTTATCTTCACAAGTGACTACCCAGGGTTTATAGTGGTACGGCTTTGTTCCGTGTACTATGTGTTATTTTAGAGGGAATTAACTTTTGCCATTTCGTTTGTAGAAACAATTAAACCAACATGTTACTTCTGTATACAAGATAGGTGCTCAGCATGTAATCTATAATTTACAGGTTCTGCTATCAACTACATAGTGTATACCTGATCATTTTTGCGGCATTGACATTTTCACATAACTGCGGATTCAAAAATGCAGCAAAAAAAAACAGCTCTAGGCATGGTTTTAAGATCTAGTTTAAGAGTAAAACAAAAGAGCTGCGGTTCAAAATATCGGAGCATTGTTGCTTTGCCCATTAGACACTGATTGTGAACCAGAGGCCTGAAGACTTCTTTCTCTTGACCAGTTCATACTTGATAAATCGGCTTATTTTGTAGACATGTTATGTGACAGTCACATGATAGTGCAAGAAATTAACAGACATGACGGACAAACCTGTTCCCAAGGAATTTTACAATGCAAAAATATTAATCTCTGACAACAATCTGAAAAATAACACTGCACAAATTTAAAGGCTTATACAGTATACAGGTTTTGATGTCAATAGTTAAAATGTCCTGATGGAAAAGTTTTACTCAAATTGGACGACGTTGAGATGTTCTACTACTAACAGGTAGCCATTTTAGTTCAAGTTGGTATATACACATGGTGGGATTTCCTTAAGAGTTACAATATAGACAGTTGTTTGATATAGACAGGTTTAGATGTCAGTATATACAGGTGTCACATTACAAAGTGTCTGTTTTACACTGATTCTATAGAAGAGAATAGCAGGCTTCTATTACATACCGCTGGGGAATTTTTCCATTGAAACCTTTGTTATTTTAAATTAACAAATATTGTCTTGTTACTTTGTGTACACGGACACATATACCAGGATATTAGATTGATAGTTATTGCTTTCCCCCGTGCTAATGGGTATGAATATTTGTTTGGAGGATGACGCCTGCTGATAAGGGTTACACCTAATATAGATATCAGTCGAAGTGATTCCTCTTAATGTATTACAGTGTTTTTGGATTAGCATGTCGACATTGTGTGGAGGTATTTCTGTGGTACAGACAGTCGAGTCGCTCACCCGCGACCCATTCTAGTACATACGCCTGTAATTCGCTGCGTATCTGATGTTGTAGAGGGTAGTACCGACATTCCCGTCACTCATCAGTCTTCCAATCTTTGTTATGCGACATTTTCGTATGTACATCAAAGGCGCCTCCAATTCACAACTGCAAATTTATTCAGTTGTAATGATTCTCTGAAAAGACAGAATTGTAGATTGTTACAACATTATTGAATGATCATATTTAGTGATAACAGGTTTTTTAAGAAACAAATATAAGTCTGGCATAGATTGTCACAGAATATTCCCGGAAGCGTTTTCTTGTTGACACAAACTTGTCCAATATGAAACCATTATCAAATGACAATGTTATTAGTCATGAAAAAGGGCTGATCCATAACCTTATTAATACGGGGTCCCACACACTGTCTACCCTATATAATAAAGGTTCCCATGTACTCTCCATGGTTTTATTGTACACTATATGGTTACACTACATACGTTTCCTATATGGTTACACTTCTCTGTATGGTTCCCCTGTATTATAAGGAGTCAATGTATACTAAGTGTTTCCCAGTTACGAGGGTTCCATTGTACCTCTACCCTGTACACTATATGCCCGGCCAGTACACTAAAAAGTTCCCTGTACCCTATATGAGTCGACCCAATACAATAAAAGGTTCCCCTGTACAGTACAGTATAAGGTTCCCCTGTACAGTACACTATAAGGTTTCCCTGTACAGTAAACTATAAGGTTCCCATGTACAGTACAGTATAAGGTTCCCCTGTACAGTATAAGGTTCTCTGTACAGTATAAGGTTCCCCTGTACAGTACAGTATAAGATTCCCCTGTACAGTACAGTATAAGGTTTCCCTGTACAGTACACTATAAGGTTCCCATGTACAGTACAGTATAAGGTTCCCATGTACAGTACAGTATAAGGTTCCCATGTACAGTACA